GCTAGTTGTTCCGTCTCCACTAAATGTGTTGACCGACTCTTCAACGTCTTTAAAAGACAACATCTGCATTGCCCTTGCAGAAGTTTCTTTTTCGTCGATGATAGATTCCTCGTCTTCGGTATCATCATCCTCTGAATCCTCTTCATCATCATCGTCGTCTTGTTTTTTATTGTTAAATAAAGTTGATTGTTATTGTTGAATGACAAAAGAAAAATATAAGAATTATTTATAAGAGATTGTAAATTATAGATTAATAGTTAAAATACATGAAACAGTACAAAATACCTTCTCCACTTTTTACGAGCTTCTGGTACAGTTTCCATGGTATCCTTTAAGAGGTATAATCTTATACCTAATAGAAAAGTTCTAAAATAGTTATCCCAAACAACGTCTTTCATATCGCAATAGAACAATTCTCGATCTTCGTTTTGTAATTTAATGAGTGCTTCTGTCCATCTTTCATTTTTAAACTTCCATTCTTTTAAAGAAAAATAACTGAGTGCTTTCAACATTTTGTGTAATCTAATATACATTCTAACAAACCTAAAATAAGCAAAAAAAAAAAAATAAATAAATGAGATATATTGAAATTTCTTTGGAAAATTTGTATTCCTATAAAAAAAGAATGTTCGAAATAATTATACTTTGGCTTTTTGGCGCAGCACAACATTCCAAAATCCATTACGGTAGCTGGTAGATAATGTAAAAAATATATGCAGAAAAGATGAAGTAATAGACTTTTTCTACCAGCACAGCTACAATACCAAACTGCATCTTTGAACGGTGTTAATAATCCATGCTCTAATGTCAATACTCTCATCTGATTGTAAGTTATAGGATTGTCATCAGATGTATAGTTATATATTGGAATATCTTCTTCGGATCTAAAGTAGAAAATGTAATATTTAAAAAAAAAAAAATTATATAATTGAATTTTATTCAAAAAGTTTTCTTCATACTATGATAAAAGTATTTTTTTTTTAGCAAATAATTATTCGATACCTTCGATTGTTTGCTATGTCCCATGCGCTAACGATTAATGCATTTGTAGTCAAATCTCCTGGTACTATAGCTGGTTTTACGGATTCATCGCAATGATGCGATCTGATTAAACCTTTTGCAGCACCAGCGAAAATCCCCATTGGACCATTATAATTATCGACCCATCCTTCGATCGGTTCGCGATACRTTGATATCACTGTTAACATTATTTTTATTAAAATTGTTGTTTCTTTATTTTCTATAAGATTATGTTTATACTAACCAATTCCTGGACGGAATATTCCGATCGGTAGCAAACCAGCTTGTTTCTTTATTATATTTTCAGCTATTGATTTAGTGTAAACATAAGTATTYGGCCATCCCTYAATTAATCTAAAATCATATATTTTTTTTAAATATATTTATARTAAATTATAGAGAAAKTAGTTTAAATAATTGATTATTAAAGATATACGTACCTTGTTGAAACATTATCCACTAATTCATCATTTAWAYTTTCMAMCAWATTRATCAATTTTTCATCGTCAATCGGTGGTTCATAAAATTTCTCCTCAATTGGATTGTGAAGACAAYRGGAATAARCCGTGGATACATGAACAAAACTCTAATACATTCAACATAATGAATTTTTRCAACATTTTATATCTTCATTTATTTTAAGAAGAAATTYAACAAGCTTATAATTAATGCACATAAAGTTAAATATTTGTACCTTTAACTTTGGCATTTCCTTTGAGAGGCTAATCATATATTTTAATGCTTGTACGTTCGTAACTGTCGCTGATTTTAGAGTTTCGTTGAATCTTGTCGTAGCTGCAGCATGAAAAACAATGGAAATTTCTTTTATTAAAATATTYCTATCTAYAATYGTCATTCCAAGATTCGGCAAAGTACAATCCCCCATAATGCAAACTATTTTTTCTTGGAATTTGGGTTGTTCTTTTTTTAGTTTGGAAAATACCTAGAACGTTATCATAGATAAATTTAAATATGTTTTTATTTTGTTGTTGTTGTTGTTATTTTCATATCTTTTTATAAATACGTATTATTTAAAGAATGTATTTTTTGTCAAAATTTTATAAGTTCAACTTATTTAAAAAAAAAATTGTGTATGGCTAACTTCTTGTTTTCTGAAATATAATATATTCAAATAATTTTTCATTTTGTTCAGAGAAATAAAAAATTTTGTTGGTAAATCAAAGTTAAATAAATGAAGAAATTAATTATCAACTTACCACATCTTGAAACAACTCGATTTTGCGTTGAAATACATCTTTTCCTTTTTTTGTACGTATCAAGATATAAATGCACTTGATGGTAGGACAACTCCTTAACAATTTCTCGATTAATAACTTGCCCATAAACCCTGTTCCGCCAGTTATGAATATACTTTGACCATTATAAAATTCCTGAATTTGAGTAAGCTTCTTTTCACTCTTACTTGACGATTGCATTTCTTTAGGTTTTTAATTTGAATTTTTTAGATATGAGACTGTTGACGTCTGGCATAGAACTGATCACATACATTATCTAAAACTCCTTATTCTTCGTTTCTTAAATAACAAACGCCTTTGCGATTAAATAACTAACGATCTAATTTTTTATTCGTCTTGAATGGTAATGTCTGTTTGAAACTCGTTAATGTAAAAAAAAAAGAACAATAAATGATAATTGTGTAAACTCATTTGTGTTTACCACTGTTAAAAGTTTACATTTTGTACGATAAAAAATWACGATGCATTATAATATATTTTTTCTTTAAAGATGTCTTGCGTCAATGATAAATTAAATGTCCATAAAAAATTCATAGTAGCTTTATTTCTATAARTTCTGCGTAATCACGCATAAAAACGTAAACGTAAAACAAATATAAAATTAAAATAAATAGTTACGATGTAAAGGGTATTAATATAAATATATCATATTTTAAAAAATAACCATAAACAATTTCAGTTTAAAATCTAAGTTCAAATTTTTTAAATTATTATTCATTTTTAAGCCCCTATATCTGGCAGTTCACAAAAAGTTATGTAGCATTCAAAACGTCTATAATTTATGATGTCATACTTGAAAGTGCAGAATTCATATATTAAAGATTCATAAAATTAACAAAAATATCAAATTTAAATTCTGCGAATATAATCTTTGAGTGTCATTATATATTCTGTGTCCACACTGCTTGATGAAAAGTTTTTCTTTTTGTTTGAAAAAGACTCGAACATGATTTTTAGTTTAGAAATTATAATCCATATGTTGATGGAAAAAATGCCGAAGATCCAAATTTTTAATATTAGATCAATCCAGTAAAGCCTAATGACAAAAGAAAAATATAAGAATTATTTAAAAGAGAATGTAAATTATAGATTAATAATTAAAATACATGAAACAGTACAAAATACCTTCTCCACTTTTTACGAGCTTCTGGTATAGTTTCCATGGGATCCTTTAAGAGGTATAATCTTATACCTAATAAAAATGTTTTAAAATAGGTATCCCAAACAACGTCTTTCATATCGCAATAGAATAATTCTCGATCTTTGTTTTGTAATTTACTGAATGTTTCTTTCCATCTTTTATTTTTAATCTCCCATTCTTTTAAATAAAAATAACTAAGTACTTTCAACATTTTGTTGAATTTCAAACGATCTTTCGAATTCGCGTGTATCAATAATTATAATCAAAATTTTGTATTCTGATTAACTATTATAAAATGTAATTTACAAAGATTCTCTGATATTTTGACTGTCAACTCGAAATCATATACGATTCATTCGTGCGCGGTAGTAATTTAGTTTGAAGGTTATATATTTTTAATTATTCAAAGCGTATGGTAAAAAAAAAATAATAATAAATTGATGGTTTAAGATTAATCACACATATAAAAAACAAAAATAACTTATTAAAATATTATTATTCAATGAAGCGTTTATCTTAATAATGATAAATTCTTAGCACTGTGGACGTCTTGATTACGCTTTGATAGCCATAAGTTAAATTAAACATTATCTTAATTTTAATATACTATTTGCATTAGTTACGACACAGACGCAAGTATAGAAACACGTTTAAAATATATTACTGAAGCATGTGGAAGAAAAAAAAAACACGTAGGAAAAAAAAATATGACACGTGTGTATTATCAAACACGTTAAAAGTGAGACCTTTAAAATAAACCACTTTGAGAGAATGAAAGGAATGCAGAGAGATTATCAGGAGTAAGATAATTTAATACAATAAGCATTTGTTTTAGAATTATTTATAATTAAAATTTAATATTACAAATTAAATATTATAATTGTTTAGAATATTTTTGCGTATTGAAGAAATTTATATTTATTTTTCAATAAAGTAGAAACATTTTGACACGTTCTGTTAAAAAAACAAAAATAAATAAAAAATACACATCATACTTTTTTTTTATTATATTTTTAATAAAATTAATATTATAATAATATTATATAATAAATTATTATACTCTTGATACTCTGTATTCGTTTCATTCTCTCGAAAGTTGGTTTTTTTTTTTTTTTTTTTTTTTTTTGAAGGTTTCACTTCTAACGTGTGTGATCTACACACATGATATTCTTAATTGTTTTAAAACACACTTTTCAGTAAATAAATAAAAAAGAAACTATACTCTTAAACTGTATAATTATTATATAATGTGTATTGTTAAATAATTTCTTAAATTTTATATTTCAAGAGAGTGAGAATAATACGCATACTAAGAAAAAGAACATTTAAACTAAACTTAAAATTCGATCTAATTTGGTAAACAGAAATATTAACGATTTTTTATCGTGTTCTTACACACGTGTATACAATTGGCTCATATATTAATTTATTAAATTTTAATAGTTAATTATCACAAAAGTATGAACACATAATTTATATAATATAACTTTTATTATAAAGTAGTATTTATTGAATAATAACTGTCGTACTTTTAAAAACTATTTGAAGGGTTCATCTTAAATAAAGGACGTATTTACAAAACTCTTATAAAAAACAAAAAAAAAAAAAAAAACAAATCTTCAAATTTAATTTTAACCATAGTATAACAGACACATAAAAAAAAAAAGAAAAAATTATATAATATTTAAATCACAAATGTTTAGGATAGACAATTCGTAATTGTAGGAAATGAAAGTACAAAGTGAAAATATTTGCCAAGATGAAAACATCTTTCAGTCCCAACCCACACGTCGCCCAATAGGGTATCCCCGTTTTCAAGATAGAAATCTCACATTGGTTATAATATATCTACCTATACCATTCTCTCTCTCTCTCTCTCACTCTCTCTCTCTCACTCTCTCGTACTTATAAGAGCTTATTTATAAACAGACTTAGCCACCACAATGGTTATTGTTTCAGCGAGCAAGGTATGTTCTATGCAGCGTTGTATGCGCCGCCTATTTATGACACATTATGCGAATGCGCATCCGATAGTAGTGTGTATAGTCAGCATATACGAGCAGTATTGCGTTTCGTGCCATTGTGATGGCAACAATGATATAGCCCGGTCCTATATATGCTTTTTCTCTTACTCTTTCTTTCTTTCTTTCTTTCTTTCTTTCTTTCTTTTGTAAAACTTTCTTTATTTGTTTGTTTGTTTGTTTGTTTGTTTTTTTTATTTATTTTTTTTTTTTTTTTAAACAGACAACATATTATAAATCATGATTCGTGCTCGAGTTTACCACGAAGTGGGTGTCGAACTCGAACGCTTCCACCCCACTTTCCTACCATCGTTTTTTTTTTAAATTTTTTTTTTTTTTTTTTTGGTTAAGTATTACAAGGGTTTCCAAAACAATTTTTTTTTAGCACTTATTTATCATTTTAATCAGGTTGTTTTCCTTTCGTTTTTTGTGTGTGTGTGCAATATTGAATAATATTATTTTTGTTATACGTAATTGTTATATGCAATTACTATCTCATTAAAATTCTATATACCTAAGTTAACTTATCATTACTATCATGCATAATTAAAATAAGAAATAAAAAATGGAAGATTAATTGACAGATGGAATAGAAAAAAATGGGTTTAATCATTGGTATATTATAAAACTATCGATAATCTCATTAATGTGATTTCAAATGTAAAAAATTTATTTAAAATATTTAACATTAGATTAAAATTATAATACGTTATGTGTTTATGGATGGAAAAGGTAAGATAGGTAAGAACAGCACGAGCCTCGACCACGGCAGTCGTGTTTTAAGCGGAGGCGGTGTGCGAGCCCTTTTCTTTCCTTTTCTTTTCCATCGTGGTGAAGGGAAGGGTAGGGAGGAAATGTGGAAGCAAATGGAAGCAAAAAGGAATCGAAGGTAGGAATAGAGTTGAGAAAAGGGGCAAGTGGCGAGAGGTGGTGGTTGGTGGCAGACGGTGCTGGTGATGCTGGAGCTGGAGCTGGAGCTGTTTCAAAGAGAGGCCTTCCAAAGAGGTGTACGAGGGTGAGGGGGTGCAAGAGGAGGAAAGTGGTCGCAAGCGTGGACGAGTAAAGGAGAGGGGGGTTGCACCGCGGGACGCAATCACGTCCTGCACGCGCCGTGCTCCAAGCCACTTACTGACACTGTTACACGAGGAGGCATCCATTTCTATTTTCATTTATCTTTATTAACATTATTTATTATTTTTATTCAATCGTATTATTAATTCATTATTCTACCAGTAAACAAATTCGAATATTTAGTATGAAGTTTAGAAAATTTATAACTGTTTTCTTTTCTTTCATTTCTTTTTTATGTTTATTTTGATGGGTATATTTAATTATTTGTTTAATTAATTAATCATTAGTGTACAATTGTTTAGGTTTATAGGAGCCGTGGGTCGGAGGAGTCACTTACAACACACAATGTTACACGAGGCATCTCATTTATCTTTTTTATTTACATTTATATATTTCATTTAATTTTTTTTTCTAAATTAATCCTTCCTGTTTTGTTTTGTTTTTTATCAATTACAATTAAAGACTAATATCGTATTGGATATAAAATTTGGAAAACTTATCGTTGTTTTTAGACTTATGATTACTGTAATTAAAAAATAAGAAATTAATTGGATCAAAATTGAAATGGATAGAATATATTATATTTATATAATTAAGAAAAAAAAAGAAGAAAAATGAATTGTAAGTTAAGAAATGAAAAGTTTATCGTAGTTTCAATCGGAATATGTTGTATACGGTTGCAAATATCATGCTAGTACCAAAGGTTTTGATTTTGTTTCGTGTAACATCATCTCTTTGGTCACGACTTCGATCACGAGGCGCATAGTGGTCTGACCCACACGAGAGCTTCTAGGAGTGTTTTGTAAGTGTATGTAAGTTCCAAGTGTGGGAACTACTCATCCCCGAGAACTCTC